CTAACCTTTTGAAAATGATTATATGTTATTTTTTCTTCAGAACTGTTAAAAAGTTAAAAACTGTTCTTTGCCACTTGATGTAATACCAAATTCTTAGTTCATGAAAACAACTGGGTCATTGTAAAAGTCTAATAAATCATTAATCTCTAGGATGATAAAAACTCCACATCACTGCTTTATTATTTTTAATCTTGGAACATCCGATATGCTGTCATCGAATTTAGCTGGTATATGTCTGTTAGATGTTAAAAGTAAATACCTTGAAAGGTTGGTAAGTTATCTTTCTATGCACACTGCGAAGATGCATTGTGTTCCATATTTAAAAGGTGTGGCTGTGTGAACGTCAGTAGAAACTGATGTTGAAAAGAGGTCAAGTGTTCCTTCATATCTCCATAAACGTTGCCTTTTATCTGCGTCTCTAACGCGGGCCTTTAGAGACGCTGATACTGGCCTTTCAACAGTATCAGCTGTATGCTAGATAGCGTTGCCATGGTCCAGAACCGACCTGAACAATCTAAGTCCTTCTACCCAGCCTCTAACTTCAACCTATTTAATGGCATTTGATGTGATAGACACACAAAAAGTAGAAAATAATGTAATAATTTACTAAGTGGTTTATCTCTGCTTTAATTGCATGATGCTACCAGCTGCTGTCACTATCAGTGATACATTCACAGTGATTAGTGTTTTATCTTACATACCATTATAGATGTAGGAAGAAATGTTCAGCTTGGGTCTTATTTGCCCTTCTCACCTACTTCCATGTGTTTTCTGTCATCCATATGTGGCTTTTTGTAAACTGGAAGTAGGGTTTGTAGTTGCCTTTTTCTTGCTGTTTTAAAAAAATACCAGATGTGTGTACAATTAATAGCTGTCATTTTAGCTGATGCTTCCACCTGAGCATCGACAGCTCCTCCATGTCTACCCTCCCGAACTGATCAATCAGAGTCACGCTCACTTGTTGCCGACCTCCGCTATCTGCTCCCGTCTGCAGCTCTGGTTCACTCTGCCTGCCCGCTCTCTACCGACTCTGAGACAGCTCTGAGACTCAGTTCCGGCCCTTCGGTGTAACCCACCTCTCGGATGTTGGCCGCCTCCAGAGTGAGCCTCCATCCTGCAAAGCCAGTAGCTGTGTTCCCCCATGGACTGCCAGTCCTTTCCCCCTCCTGCTTGGCTGAGTTTTCTAAAGCCGGGCATACACTGTACCATTTTTTGCCGTAGTCGGGCCAATTCTTCAGTTTTATGAGAATTTTTTTGATCAGACCAACTTTCAGCCTCCTCCTGCGTACTGCATCGTGTACTATACAGGGGGTAACGACTCTCACGACCATCTCTCGATCAGGTATTGTAAGGTCGGGAGAAAATCAAACATGTTTGAAATTCAGTCGGCAGTCCTAAGGTGTTTGTGGAAAAATCATCTTATTGAAGCAGAGCTAGGAGACAATTTACCAGAGCCTCCAGCACTACGCATGTGCAAAAAAGAGAGTTCTTCTTCTTCCAGATTAACAAGATGGATGTGTGATTTTTGGACTTGTAGTGTGAGCAGGTAGATTGCATCAGAGTGTCGGGCCGCACAGTGTGAGAATATACATCATGAGCTGTGAACTTTTAAACCCTGCTGTGTTATCATACAGTTTGAGCTGTAGCTGCGTGCAACGATTGAAAATATCGAACAGGCTTATTAAAACTCCTCGCTATAATTTGTGTCCATGCCTGATTCTGCATGTGTGTCAGAAAGGTTCAGCCAGACATGATACTTCCAGACAACGTACTTATGTTGTTTTTTTTAATTTGAGATGGAAAAAAATGAAAGATTTAGTAAAATTATTTTTTTTTAAATAATCAGTTATTGTACGTTCCACTTTAAAAAAAAATTATCAATACTTTTGACTGAGCAGTAATCATGGCAAGACCAAATGCCCAAAGGGCTACACGAGCCAAAAAATGTTGGGTCTGCATCATGAAATAATTATGTCTAATGAGACAATTAGTTGGACTGGGATATATTTAGGGGTGTAAAGGGAGCTTGCCTGCCTGACTGTGTGTTTCTTGAACAGGGCCGCCTTTTACAGTTGCCTTTTGTATGTCTGCTTCTGTCTCCTTGAACCCCAGTCGGCCTCGGCAGATGGCCGCTCACACTTAGCCTGGTTCTGCTGGAGGTTTCTTCCTTGTTAAAAGGGAGTTTTTCCTCCCCACTATTGCTACATGCATGTTAAGAGTGAAGTATTGTCTTTGAGTCAATGAGTCGATGTAATCAACTGGTTTTTCTTTGATAGAAAACTTTGAATCAGTTTGACTGTATGATCTGGTTGAACTGTAAAGTGCCTTGAGATGAGTTGTGTTGTGAATTGGGGCTATATAAATAAACTGAACTGAATTTGAATTAAATGTATTTCATTCCTGAAATGTCCACTTTCTTTCCTTCTGAAACTAAGTCATATGTTTAAAGTTAGGAATTCTATTTTGATGCCAAGTTTAGCCCAAAGGTCGACCTTCCTATGGGTCCAAAGTAAAAAAAAAAAAAAAATCACCAGCTGTCTCTAGCTCAGTCCTCATGTGTTTTGAACTTATGGGACATTTCTCCTTCATTTCTTTGCACACTGCTGTTTCTTTCCCACAACTGAGGACTACAACATATTAATAAATGAAACAGGGAGACAAAGATTTAAACTCAGCTAGAGACTGAGAGGGAAATTTGGCAGAAGCCAGGTGAAGGTCGACAGGCGTTGAGTTCAGTGTCGGCTGGAGATTTCCATGTTTAGATCCTGCTGACTCCTACTGGTATTTCTAGCCTTGGAAGGGATCAACCCAACCACCCCCACCTTCCCTTTTTCTGTTTCTCTGCTGCTTTTCAACTGCTGCAGAATCGAAGGCAAAAGCTCCATTCATTTCTTGGTACTGTATTAGTCTGTTGTTTCAACCTGAAGCCAGGTTTCGATTGTTACAGGCTGGAAATATCCAACTACTTTAATGGTTAGTAACTCAGCTCCTGAGCCTCTTCACGATGCAGCATCTCATGTGAGTATATTTTACTCCTCAGATGCATGCTGCCTTTTGGATCTACTTTTGGATTTACTGTAAGATTGTGTAAGATAAAAATTAATTTGAAGAAAACTGTAAAACGTTGCTTAAATTGACGATCTTCCAGAAAGTCAAATGTTAAATTTCCATGTTGAAATGTGTTTTCTCTTTTCAAACTGCCTCCTGGGTTTTGCAAAGATATGAAAATTATTTTAAGCAACCTTACATACCTGTATGAGGCCAGGACAAAAAAAAAAATCACTATTTGTTTGAAGCAAAGACTTTCACAACATAATACAGGAGAGTCTTTTGCATCAAACAAAGAAACGAAATCTGTGCTAATTCTTTTCTGACAAAAGTCCCAGTCAAGTTGTGACTAGAGATGGGTAGCAGCTGGGATGCTGAGTTCTCTGGTTGCATGACGAAATGATTAACAGCTGTCAGAAATAGTGCAACTTCCGAAATGGTTCGGTCGCTTCTGAGCCTGGCAGGCAGACATGTTTCGGCTGCATAGTGTCACTGCATGAAACTCTAAAAACAGCTTAGCTGCCCTTGGCCCAGGTGCTATGCAGAGTTTGAGCCAGAAATACCTTGGAGATCACATGTGAGATGAACAAGGAAGTGCATTTTCTTTTTTGTATGTGCTCTTTGTGTTTGTAGGAGTAGTGGTGGTTCCTCTCATGATTCTGGAACCATTGAAGACCAACAGCTCTGTTCTAAGGAAGGTCAGGACTGTGAAGACCCAAGAGAATACTGCTACGGTATGTAAAGCACAGGCAGATGTTTATTTTCCTCAAATGATAAGAGTCAGTCTAAAGATAAACAATGTATAAAGCATCTGCAAAGAACTGGCGACCTGTCCTGAGTGTACCTCGCCTCTAGCCCATAGACAGCTGGAGATAGGCACCAATACCCCTCATGACCCCAGCAAGGGATACGTGGGACAGAAAATGGATGGATGGATATAAAAGGCATATCAGTTTGATAAAAAATAAATAAATATGAAAGGAATGGAGGAATAATTTTCATCTTTACAAATCATAAAAAAACCAGGGATTAAAGCAATCAAACCCTTCTAATAAGTCTGAGCAGATGATTCATCTTTGGTAATGAACTTCCAGACTGAATTTAAAATATGATAGAATAAAATAGAAAAGAAAATCCCTTTATTGTCACTCAATGGGGAAATTCTAATGTTTACAGTAGCAAAAAGAGTATTGAAAAAATTGTCACACACAATTTGGAAGGGCTCCTCACCATAACCCTAATCTTTAGCTTCCTCAACTGAATCAGTTTAATTTTTCAGGAGAGTATTAGAATAATACTTTAGGAGAAGAAACCATCTGGGAAAATGAAAAGATTGTTTCAAATCAAAAACTGACAGAAATAGGAATGATTGAGATTTATGTGGATTATGTTTTGGAGGTCTCATTCACAGGGGGGTTAAATAACAAAATTGGAGTCAGTATTTTACAGATGTGAGATTGAACAATCAGTCTGATGAATCGGCTTGCTTGAGGCAAAACAATAAATCAAATCAGGGATTCACTGTATTTAAAAAAAAAAATCCATATTTTATTGGGAGTTAAGGGCTCTAAAAATGCTGAAGGGGCACAAGCTGTTGTATTTAGTTTAGGAGTCATGGGAAATACTTAAAAATCCATCCATCCATCCATCCATCCATTTTCTGTCACGCTTATTCCAAATGGGGTCGCGAGGGGTGCTGGTGCCTATCTCCAGCTGTCTATGGGCGAGAGGCGGCATACACCCTGGACAGGTCACCAAATACTTACAAATACAGTATAAGGAAATTTTTTCCTACTAAAATAAAACAGTATGTAATTTGTAAGGTCATAGCTGAAGTCATGAAAAAATAAAATGTAAGTACAACATTCTGTATCAGTTTGACCCTGTAATACTGGGAGAAGTTCTGCTGTTCTCTATGAATATAGCTCTACCACCACCTTCCAACAAATTCCGCTGTATAAATACCGTTTATACAGTTTCATCTCTAGGCAGACAAACCCAGGCAGGCATGGAGGATGTGGACTTGGTGAAATACTCTGCAGCATATGTGTCCCACTTCTGAGCTACCATATGTTGAGATATATATCTATGGTACTGCTGTGGCACACATTGGCTTATCAAATCTAACTTCATTACATTAATTAATCTCATATACACCAAGAAAAAAACCCCATTTGCACTAATAAAGATTCCTTCATGTAAACTGTCTTAGATCTGCTCCTATAGGGAGATCTTTGACCTTTTTTTGGCTAATCTCTCCTAATAATTTGATCACTTCGAGGTAGTATTGCTCTGTGTATATGGCACTGAACTTTGATCTTCATAATTTTAAACATGTTGGAGGGCAACAATACAAATAGTCATATATGACCTCTTGACCGACACAAGCAGCATGAACTGAACTGTGTCCGTGTTGTTTTTTAATATATTGGGTTGGGTATTTTTAAGGTTCCAGTTTCATTGAAAATTGTTTCTATTTTAAAGCAAACACAGAGATTACGAACAATACTTGGTAGAGATTTGTGGAAATAAGAGGAGCTCCTCACAGCCTTCCTGGATCCCTCACTTACATGCTGTAATCTGCAGTAATCTGCATGTTTTTTCACCTGACCTTGCCTCCCGTTCCATTGTGTTACAGCTGTGCAGGTATTAGTACCTCTGCTGTCCTTGTGATACTGAAAATGCCTGACACAGTCATAAATTACATACCACCTCATATGGTGTTCTGGTATATAAGAAACAGAGATCCTATTCTAACTCCTAGATAATAATAATAAGAAAGTGTCATGTGGGTTAGATGAGGACAGGAACAGGATAATCCAGCATCTTGCTTTGGTGTCCTGCAGGCAGGTCTGAGCATATTACTCACCAATAGACATGTTAGGGCTCTGAGGAAGTTGTTTCGCCAGAAATAGCTCAAGCTCTATAAACTATGTGGCTGAAGCTTCCTACTTGTTTTTTTTTTTTCCTTTTCCTTTTTAATATTTACATCACTTTAGGAGACGTTTGACATTGGGTTATATAAATCGCTGGGTACTGCTGGATCTTTCTGTGCTTAATCCAGGATTTTGTTACAGTTGTGGATCTCCCCAGGTGGTTACCATCCCGTCCAGATTGGGGACACTTTCAACAGAAGATATCAGGTGGTGTCTAAACTGGGCTGGGGCTTCTTTGCCACGGTATGGCTCTGCATAGACCTCAGGTATGGTTTTTAGCAACAAAGATGAGGAATCGTGAAAACAGTGTCTTCCAAAATCTGCCAACATCACCACTCAATGAACCTTTCCATGATTTGCTACGTTAAAACCAAAAACGATTAACCAGAAGAAGCAGCTCACTGTAACTCTGGGGAGCATGCAGAGATCTGAAACTCAGGGGGACAAATCTGTTGAGGGAAAAACACTAATTCATTTCACAAAGGCTTATTGGAGACAGATAAAAAGTTTTCTGTTCTGCTAAAAACTTTAAAATTGTATGATTGGTTTCTTTAGTTTGTGCAAAGCAGTGTTGTAGTTTGCTGATATAAAGATACCTGAATCTTTTGGCCTACAAGCTAAACACTGAACTGTGATGGTGGAAAGTTAACTCATGTCACCTGAACACACTATAAAAATCAGTAAGGACTCTAAGCACAGGCAGAAGTGTATCTGCTAGGGCCATTAAGAGTGCCATCCGAAAGTGCTGGCATTGAGAAAGAACTTAGGACCAGGAAGCAGAATGCTTCCTTGCACAAGGCCGTTTCCCTGACATCTCTAGCCACCACTATGAGCTATACAATCGCCCACAGTCCTGATAGTGACAGAAAACATAATGACAGCCCAGCTCACAGAGTTAAATAAAAAATGTGTTATTCCATGACATGTATTGTGTATTAAATATGCAAATGTTCTTCATCATGAATTTTAGTTTTTATAAGGGAGAAATGCAGCCATTTGTTACATTTGTGTAACTTTTTGTTTTGTGTACCGTAGTTCTTTTCTGGAAAGCTGTAGTCCAAATTTGACCAACATAGTTTGTGTGTATCCACCATGTACTGTCAATAATAGTGTCATGTTGTGGGTATGCTATCTTAAGCAGAAAGATGAAAGCTTAGTTTGATGTTTGGATGGTCTGAACTTAATCCAAGGTCTTTCAGAAAGAAAAACCTGGTAGAACCAGTGACAGAGTTTCTACTTGTTTTTTTTGTAGCATTAGGGTTGTTTTTCTGACAGAAAAACAATCCTAACATCATTCATTGTCTTGCTGTTGAAAGAAGCCTTGATGAAGTCTGACTAAATGTGAGCTAATCTAAAAACTAATACGACTCTTTTCAGATTTTTAAATATAATGAAATGTAAGACCATGTAATCTTTGCTCCAAAGGTCTTCAACAGGGGGTCCGCGACCCCTAGGGGGTCCACAGAGGTACTGCATGTGGGTCGCAATTTTTTTCACTAATTGAAATGTCTTTAAATACACATTAACATGAATTGAACACTGTAGTAAACAGATAAATGAAGGCAGAAGATGTCTTTCAGTCATCAATTCACACATTCAGCAACACGCAGGAGCTCTTTCAAGCTGGGCACGGTTTTATTCACAACACCTGTCCCATCCTCTATCTGTAATAGAGTGACTATAGGGCCAGTTTGATATAACACAATTTCATACAATATATATAATTCGGGGGTCCCCGCTCCATCTCACCATCAATTTGGGGGTCCCTGGCCTGGTAAACATTAGAAGTCCCCTGCTCTATGCCATACTTTGTGCACAAAGCTTTGTGTTAATCTGTGTTATAAAATCCCAAAGAAACACAGGTTTATGTTTGTGAAGAGAAAAATGTAATAAACTTCAACTGTCATTTGCAAACCACTGTGCTAATGTTCAAAGGGGGATTCTATACTTTGCACATTTATATCCTTATAAAATAAAAAGAAAGCACTGCTCTGGTGTTTGTGTCGGCAGGTCAGGTCGGCGAGTTGCTGTTAAGGTGCTGAAGAGCGGAGCAGAGTTTACCCAGGCAGGACAAGATGAACTGACTCTCCTACGATACGTCAGTTTTTCGCTGCCTCTTTCTGTTGATGTTAAAATATACATAGCATCACTAAAACACCAATTCCCTGTTTCATTCTTTACTGTCTCTTGTTCTTCAGTCCAGTGGCCCTGTTAGTCGCCACCCTTACAGCCAAAGGGTTGTTCAGCTGCTGGATGAATTCAAGCTTGCTGGAGTCAATGGTGTCCGTATCTTTGGTGATTTCAAAACTTTATATATATGAGTGCTAAGGTCTTTCCCTCTGTGCTATGGTTACTCAGCATATGAACTTGCTGAGTGATGCATTATAGTTTAAGTATGTGGATTATAAAACTGTCCTTAACCTGTGATGATGAGACATGTGCCTGGTTCTGGAGCTGCTGGGACTCAACCTCAGGAGCTGGCAACTCTGTTTTGGAAATCCAGGCCTGTTGCAGCCTTGGGTTAAACAAATACTCACTCAGGTAAGCAATAGGGGAGATCTACACCTGTTCAGAGGACCATTTCCAAGACGAATCAGCTGTTTGTGGTTCATCTGTTCTTCTTTCATTAGCAACATCTCAATTCCTCATTTCTCTGTAGGTTCTCCAAGGCTTGGACTACCTTCACACTCGCTGTAAAATCATTCACACAGACATCAAACCAGATAACATCCTGCTGCACCTAAAGGAGCAGACCCATGTTTCACCACCAGGGGGCAGCAGTTTCCTCTCTGTACCAGCTGTAAAGGAAACCGAGAACACAGGCACAGATGTTTTCTAGATTCTTACACATGCTGCAGGGTTTCAAATGCAAATCTCTGCTTGACAGAATGTGTTTCTCTGTTTTATGAGCCAACAATATGTGCATCCCATCTCTTAATACTATCAAGCTTCAATTAGGCAAAGTTTGTAATATGTCTGCAAATGAAGCAAATATCCCTACTTCAGTTAAGAAATGAAAAAAGGACAAAACATCCTTCAGGTGGAAAATATGATGAATAATACAGTGCTATTTTTACATTAGTTGAAGTTTTTAGAAGTTATTTTATTCTAACTTCATACTTATTTATCATCTTCAGAGACAGAACAAGTGAACCCGTACAGATTAAAGGAAATTTCAGTAAAGATTGCTGATTTGGGAAGCTCCTGTTGGGTGGTTAGTATTCCTGTTTTTCATACACATTCAACAGTAAGGATCTGTCTTTGCAGGCTGTTTTCTAACCCTTTAGTTTAACTCCATAATTATCTTCTATGACTATTTTAGGAACTGCTCTTTGCTGCCTCTTTGTTGCCTCAAGCTGAGTTTTTTTTTTTTTTTGTATTTGTTGTGCAAAAAAGAGCAGATAGTTTACATATGCTGAAAAATTTATCTGCTTTGTTTTTTCCTGGCTGCCTTTTTCTTGGCCCTGATCCAGTACAAGCATTTTTGTGAGGAGATCCAGACCCGTCAGTATCGCTCTTTAGAGGTTCTGCTTGGTTCTGACTATGGTCCGCCAGCTGACATCTGGAGTGTGGCTTGCATGGTGAGAAATCATCTGTTCACAATGGGACCATGACTCAAATAGCTGTTATTTAATTTACTCCAAAGAATTTGCAGTTGAATTTTTAGTTATTTAAAACAGCCACACAGAAATTGTTAAACAACTCAGCATTTTTCTACATGAAATAGCAACTGTGTGTTGGAGTGAACATACTGAACAGAATTTGTAGTAATACTTTTAGCGGCTGGCTAGCTCAAGTGGTAAGTCACCCGTCCTGCAAACAGGAAGTCTGGGTCCGTATCCCAGCTGGGGGAATGAGCTATCATTGTGGTCCTTTGGCAAGATCCTTCACGCTAATGCCCACTTTGGGTAGTGCAATCGAGGTTTTGAGTTAAAGCCCCACTCCCATGGACTGCCACACTGGCTCTCTGAGCAAGACCTTAGCCCCACATTGCTCCCCAGGCGATGCACAATGGTAGCCCCTGCTCCCCTAGGGGATGGGTTAAATGCAGAGAGTTAATTTTGTTGCTCTGTACTCGTGACAGAGTGATGACAATAAAAATGCTGGAAAATTAAATATTTTTTATATTGTTTGTTAAATGGCCCCAGAATGAGCAGCATAGTGAAACTTTACACATTCGTTAGTCAGGTTTGATGCTAACTTTTCCCCAAAGTCAGGAGGTACTGACTTTGTACTAAAATCTGCATACCGAAAATCTTTTTTTTTTTATTTCCCATTGTATACAAGTCATAGGATCGACATTAGAAACGGTTTATTTTTCTTTTTAACCATTAACACAAGAAATCCTAGAGATACGAGAATTTTCGTCAGTCTCCAGATACTATGTTTAAAAAGGAAATTGTCTTGCTTTTCTGCTTGAAATAAAAAAATCAATACATCGATCAGGATCTAGGATCTTTTCCTAGTGCGTCTGATTAAAAACACAAACTCTTAGAAAGCATTATGTTAAATAATATGTGCTAAGACTCTGACCAAAATAAAAGCATCAACACTAAATATGCTACCCTACGGCAAAGAGTTAAGATTTCAGAGTCATTCATGTATCTAAACTTAGCCCTTTTACACAAAGTCATCAGTTTGGTAATTTTCTTTTTGAAAACTCTGACTTTTACAACTAGACACATGTAGAAAATGGGGAATCTACACAAAAGTTGAACAAACGAGTTTGTCGTTTAATGAAAGCTCTAGTGAAAAAAACTAAAATTTTGACAATTGTTTCAAGATCTAGGCATAAAGGGGTTTCACTGAGTCAAACCTTACAGATGTGGAGCTTTTGCACATCTGTTAGCTGCAAATGCTGCTAATTGTGCAGTAAGCATTATATGAAATGCAGTTAACATTGGGGTAACCTTTGAAAATATCTGTATAGAATAAATCTTCTTTAACTGACTGTTAGTCTGAAGATGACAACAATGCGGGCACAAACCATCTGTAACAGTTTATGTTTCCTTCTTTAATTTGCCACACATGTCACCCTGAATGTTCTTCTAAATTCTCCCAGGCCTTTGAGTTGGTCACTGGAGATTCATTGTTCCATCCCAAAGCCAGCGAGTTCATTTCCCTGGAGGAAGGTGGGTTTAATTCAGTGAGCTGACACTAACTGAGAAGAAACATGCACTGGCACAGGATTAAATGGGATTACTGCATGCTTTCATTGTAGCTGTAGATGCTAATTTGTCTTGAAACTGTGAATCTGTTGTATAATGTTTGTGATGTCTCCATCTACCTCAGACCATATCTCCCAGATCATTGAGCTCCTCGGCAAAATTCCACCAGATGTTGCCCTGTCGGGTAAATATTCAGCTGAATACTTCAACCGCAAAGGTACACCTTCTTCTTCAAGATAACCTTTTTAAACTATTTTTTATCTTGAAGTTTACAAAACGTTTTATGTGAACTTTAAAATGGTATTTGCTATGCAGGTGATCTCCGTCATGTAGGTCCATTGAAGCCCTGGAGACTTTATGATGTTCTAGTTGAGAAATATAACTTCCTTTTAGGGGAGGCCTCTGAATTCTCAGATTTCCTTCTCCCTATGTTGGATTATCACTCTGAGAGACGGGTGACTGCTGCACAGTGCCTTCAACACCCATGGTTGACCTCCGTTTGACCTTCTAAAGAGCCTGCAGGCCTAAAGACCTTGGAAAGTTCTTGCAGCCACATGCTTTCAGATGCAAGACCTTGACAGCTTCAGGGCATCTTTGAATTTTAATATTCTGGGAATTCCTGTTACATTTGTTTAGCATCAGAAAGAGGATCTTTTCCACTTGACCTTTATAAGAAATTTAGGCATTTTTCCTTTTTTTTTCTTGATTCCCCCTGAGTTTTTTCGTCAGACCTTTGGTATAAAGCTTTATGGCTTTTGTCTAAACACTGGAACCTTAACTGTCCAGATTAGCAAAAATATTCAGCAGTTCATTTATTTGTTTCTTTTCTGACTGTTTTTTTGACAAATGTTTAGCATTTAGGTAATGTTTTTAAAAGCAAAATCATTGGTTTTCATTTTTCATTAAAGAAATGCTAAAAGAATGTTGAGTGAATTTTAACTGTGTACTCTAGAATTTTCCTATAAAGAGTCCTGGTCTGTATTTCTTTCTTGCTCCATGTCACTAAAGTTCTCAAAGTTAAAGGTATTGTTGAGGACCCGCCATCTCCACTTTAAAAAAAAAATGCATATGCACAAGCTGGTACCCGCTCCCGATAGGGAAAGCCTATTAAATGCGTGCGAGAACATCTATAAGCCAATTTCTCCTTGTGTACGCTCTACTTAAAAATTTTTGTTCTCATAGCTCATAAAAGCTTACTGTGCCCGAATGTCTGCCCTAACATCTAAATTACTCAATCACTATATAGACCTGGGACTATATAGTGGACTTTATAGTGACTCAGTTAACTGACCGTTCAGACAGATGATCACTGCTTTTTGCTCCCTGTTAGTCACGTAACTCCTCCACCACGCAGTGCCTGCATCATCTTTGTTATTAGTCGCTGCTGTCAGGTAGCGACATACTATGGAAATAGGATGTCACAAATCCCATAATGCTTTGTGCGGAGAGCTCTCTGCACAAAGCATTCTGGTATATATGTGCCTCTTCTGAGGCCTTTCTTTTCTTCTCATACACTTCGTAGACACTTTTTCTCTTACGACCCTCAGCCATTTTCAAAGAACTGCAGTGAAAGGTGGACTTCAATCACTGTCTGAAACCGTAGCTCACCACAGATATAAACCTCTGAAAGTGTGCATTTAATATTTCTCACAGAAAAAAATGTGAATCTTTATGGTTTTTAAATGTCTAAATGAGAAAGGGGTTCATAGTGTACATCCCTCTAGCATTATTAGTGGAACTAAAATAATTTTTTCTCAGTTGAAGACACACAGACAACCTGAGCAAGTACTATGAACAAATGCACAGATTTTATTTCATTCAGCTGTTGTAAAAACAAAGATAGACATTTGATATTTTGTACAATTGAGTAGAGTGGGTGATACAGCAGAGTCATAATAAATTAAATCAGAGAAGATGGGATAAAGAACATCATCATTACATATGGATTTTATATGTTGATATTTAAAATCTTTTGTAGTTTTAATGAGATCAGAAACGACTAATTGAAGGAATGTCCTAATCTAAGTCTAAGTGTCTTTGTCTTAAGGCATTTTGGAGCTGATCACTATTTTTACTAGTTCTCCAGCAAACACTTGTTTTTGGCCTTGTGTCGGGGATTGTGTGCCACCTGAATGATATTTGTTTGACCTATTTTTAAAAACATCAACCATGGTTTCACATACAAGCCTTGCAAAACATTCCAAGCAAAAGAGAGACTATATCAACAGCTGCAGCTTTCTATTAACCTGACAACAGCCAGATGCATGTCTCGCTCCGCCCAGCTCCGGAGCTAGGCGGAGCGAGACATGCATCTGGCTGTTGTCAGGTTAGCTTTCTATCTGCTCCCACCAGATGTCAGCATAGTGGTGAGCCTCGTCTAATACAGCTAAAAAAACTGTTCTAATATTTTAAAATACTGAAAGCAGCATGTTAAGTTTCTAAAGTGGGACAAGTTCTCTAAACTTTGTCCAAACACACTAACTGGATTCCAATTAAAAACTGCAAACAAAAACTACATTGTTGGTGCAAAAATGCTGAAGGAAACTGAGGAAGTCAGTCTTTTTGTGGTGAAGAAGAACTGGTGGGACACAATCTCAATACTATTACAGACGATGAATTATTGATAAATGTGCTGTCTCTTCCTGTACTTTAAACCCTCATACTACATTAAAAGAAATACAACATATATGCTGGAAATACAATAGTTTTCGAGACTGATTCCAAAGCTGGGTCTTAAAGAACTAATTACTACCTGTAACTAAAAGGTCCTACTAACAGAGCAATCCCTCCGGTCCGAAAAAACAAACAACAAATAAAGCAATAAAAATGTGAAGTCTAGAAGAAAATGAAATAATTTCAAACAGCTATTTTCTTCTTTTTATATTTCTTTCAGTGAGCTTTCATTTTGATAAAGTAAATTTTACCTGGGCTTAATGACAGCATAAAGAGCTTCAACGTACCATATATTCTCATCTATTACCTGAAATTTTGTAATGTTGAAATGTTGTAATAATGACAGTAAGTAATTTGTCATTAGTAACATTTAATGCGTCTCGTCTTTTAGGTGTCTGTTATCAAAAAGGTTGGGGATCTTACTCATTGATCCTTGCATTAAAACACCACCTTTTGTTTATAATTAGGACTTACAAATGTTCTATGGATAAAACTTTGACCTCATAAGAACCTCGGTCACAAAAAAATGTCCACATTCCAGAGTTAAAAAGAAACAAGTGGAGAAAGCACACAAAACTATAGCATGCATTAAGGTCCCTTAACCTTTGTTCTCACCATTAACCTGCTTAACCAACTCTTTAACAGCATCATTTATTATATGATTAGCCCTATCAAAGGCAAAATGCACAAATCTGTTAAACAAAATCTAAACAAATCTGAAAAGTAATAAGGCATGAACAATGTTAAGTTTTCAACACTGAAGTTAGCCTATCCAGCTGTAAGCACGGCACTCCACCAGTGGGTTTCCTTTGTAAACAACCATATATCCACAGTCTGTCTGCACCCGATAACACTTCCTTGGCCATGAGGTGGGTTTCTTTGGTCTGAATAGGGGTGGAGAGAATTGTGAGTAAGCTAAACTTTTAAAATCAAGTAATGAATATTAGAGAAAAAATGAACTCACGAGTAGCAGTAAAACCCAAACTCATGACAGAAGCACTTGTCACAGCCTCTCCTGAAGGTATCGCCAGGTTTGAAGAACTTGTCCTTGTATGAACAGATCCCTGAGGAAGAAAGGAGCACTATGGTGACATATCTCTGTGGCCTGCAGCAACATGTTCCAAGTATCCAAAGCTATGACCATGCTAAGTGAAATTGTACTTGATATATGTTTCAATGGAAGGACTTTTACTTTACTCTCTCTGTGGAACATCTGAAGGTTGCTGGAAGGGATCATGCATGCTAAAGGCTTAACTTATGTCCTCAGTAAATTCTCTTTCCATCCCTAAAGGCTGTGAAAAGCTTTCCTCATGCGGCTTGTCACCTTGAGAAGTGGGGGTCAGAGGAGACACACTGTTCTTTTGCAAAGAGCCTAAAGACTTCAAATGCAAAGTCAACCATAGAGGACAGAAAGTTGGTTTTCAGCCATTTAGAGTTGCTTCAACTGCTGACAGTAACAAACTAATCATTAAAATTTGCAAACTTATGCTCTGGTAGGACTATACAGTTTTGATTAATTACGTCCAGGAATAAATAGATTTGCTTACCTTTTTTGCGGTAAACTGATGCTTCTGAGGTTTCGCAACACGAGAGAATGACGAGAGTAAGGCTGAGAGCAAACATCAGCCACACAGGGGATTGCTGAATATTACTGGTTTGATCTGACATTGCAAAATGACAGACTTATCAATTCTTACTCCTAGCAGGTCCAAGTAATTTTATTTTATATAGACTAATGCCACCTTCCAGCAGGTTCTGTTCAAACTCCTTGTGAGGGTGTAGAGTAGACTGCTTAATATTTATAGCCTCACATCTTTACTCAGGGAAAAAAATGTATCCACATGTTTAGTTTTCAGTTTTGTTCCAACTTTTGTTTCAGAACGAGGCATGTTTGGATCTTGGCTGTGTACTCAGGCATCCCTAAGTATTAGCTTCAGCTGATGCCACATGGATGTGGGTGTAAAGAAGGGCAGTGCTTTGTCGTGATGGTCAGGAGTGTCATCGGTGGTCTCTGAACAGCTGGGGCCTGTTGTCTGCGTGCTTACTTTTTTTTCTTTTCCTCTTCATTATTTATCACCTTCAAGCTGGTACAAACAAATGCTGACTCTTGAAAGTTTAATCTATTTTTACAACCGCTGACTCGTTTGTATGTGGGGGGGGCTCTTTGCTGAGGTTGTCTTTATCTGACGGTCATATTATCCCAACATCCCATTTATAACAGCAAAAATGCACTAATCTAACCCTGTAAAGATGATTATCTCTCCAGAGTTTCAACAATTCTAAGACTATGAGCTTCAAAACAAAGAGAAAGGAAATGTTACTATTTACACGGGACATTTTCTTTTAAAGGTTTATGCTGCTCTTAATGGAGCGCAGAGTAAGGACCGCTTTAAGCCGAAATGATTTTTCAATCTTTGTATGCAGCTACAGCTCTGATATGATCTACCTGCTCAAGCTCTACATCTAAGAACCACGTCAAACTAAGCTCCGCAATGAGATGGCGCTATTTAGACTTGTCTTTTCGGATGGCAAACAAGAAGAGGAGGAAAAAAACAGAAATGTTGATGTCTACTGTTAAATATGAAGCTCACTAGAGTGAAACGCGCTGCCTTGGCAATTTGTGTAAAAAAGGCAACAAAATATTTGGACAAAGACATGGCTGAGCTAAGTGGCTACTACGGTCTTTCAATTTTACAGAAATAACTCCATTTCACTCGCACCCCCGCCATGCTTCTGTGTTTTCGTCTGAGAGGAAGAAGAAGAAGCACTTTTATTTAACAGCAATTTACTTCATTCTTTATGCTTATTGTTGGGTTAAATTAATCTAGGAAACTTTAACGTTATGAGTGTATTTGTTTTACATTTGAGTTTATTTTATAATTT